TTACACTGACATCAATGAAAAAGCTATATTAACCTCCTAGGACCTGCCGTCCACATATGTGGACATCGCATTTTGGGTTATTTAGACCAAAATACTAAATTTTGCTCTACATGGGCCTGATATCCACTTACGAGGACATTATACTGCTACTGTTCTATCAAAATTTTAAATGAATATCTTCATATGTGGCTCTCATTTTTCTTAAAAACAAAAATAAGGTAAAAAAAAAAAATCTGGTAATTCTTTGTTTTTACATTCAATCAGGCCAAATATCAAAGAGAAATTAAAAATGCATGTCGTGAAAGAGTTCGGGTCTTAGGAGGTTAATAAAATCCTGTGCTAAGCAATGAACACTGAGAAAGGTCTGACACACTACCCGAAATAATGTGTTTGTGAGGGTAAACTTGTTCTGACTAAAACTCCTTGTGTTAAAAGCTGATTTAAGTGAAGTCGGTTCGGTCCTGCAGCACCGATATACAGATTTAAACACTCACTGCATCTGTACTTCCAGGCAAAGCAATGTTTAAAGGACTGAGGACAATGTTGGCTGTGTGATTTGGCACTGTGCTCCCATCACTGTGGGTCATGGATGCTGGCCCCCTGCCAGGCAAAACAAAGCCTAATCCCATCCGCCGGTAAAGCCAGGCCGCCCCTATCTAATCCCATTCTTGGTAGCCTAGCTGTGTGAAGTGCTCACACAGCACTCCGTCCGTGTGTTTTTTCACTGGGTTGGAAAAAGATCTTACTGGTGGGGACGAGCCACCCAGCTCCTGTTTGCAGGATTTTTAAAAATACTCACACGCACACTCCTAATGAAAAAGCAGCCGACAGAAATCGGAAAAAATAAGCAGACACAGTGACCCAGCTTACACATATTTATCACCAGCTGATGATCACAGAAGACTGTGTTTTTACCTACGGCAATAACTCTCAGCTACATTGCCACAGTCTGTGAATATTAAAGCAGCAGCTTTCTACCACTGATCAGCTGCACCTGTGCCCAATTATCCTTAAGTAATTGCCTCACCCAGGTAGCAGCTCTTCCTGTAATGGAATTTGGAAAGGTAATGTGGCATCCTCTGGGTACAACTGAAGGTCTTTGTCTGTTCAAGAACAATGAAATGGAAGGAAGCACAGCCGTGTGGAAACAAGGTCTGCAAGTTTTTAGTGATTGGACAGAAAAGCAGTTGCGTAAAAGCCTCGGGTTTAGTTCTGCGTTACCTTGGCCAGTTACATCTGGATTTCTCTCGAAGATAATTAACTAATTATTTGCATAAAGAAAGAGGGGAGCAGACAAGGACATGGAGGTAACAGGACAGAAAGAGGGGAGCAGACAAGGACATGGAGGTAACGGGACAGAGGAGGCGAATGAAGTGGATTGTTTACTCTGAGTAATTCCACTTAATCAGAGCTTTGCTTGCTGTAAGTAATACATGCAAGTAATTCCTGTCTCAGAAATGCTTTGTTTGCAGAGAATCAAAGTGGTAGGATGTAAGCGTTTGTAGTTTTCAAGTAGTTACATTTGCCTGCAGTTTGTTTTCATCCAACAACCTCTTTCACTGCATAAGTGCTTGTTCAGAGGTCCACACAATACATCAGTCACAGCATTAGTACTTTAAATACAGATACTCATTAACGCCAAACACTACTGACTTCATTTGAGTACCACTGGCCAGGGATTAAACTGGGATAATATGGAGATGGGTGTGTTAGCATCAGTGGTGAACAGAACAGTTTTCCATACAAAGGCCTGCAACTGATTTGAGAACATTTAATACATTAAAGAACAGGAGTGTCATTGGTACGATTTGACACAGACTATAACAAGGTCTGCAAAAACAACGTATCCAGCTTTGCTGCAACACCAGTGCAAGTTTATAGTCACTCACCCCTCTGAAGTTGCTCATAGCCTGGAAGTAGACAAGGTAGCTTTTGCGGGGGTCCAAAGGGCTATTCCAGTAACCATTATACGTGTGATTGTCACCCACAGTAAAGGGACTGGCCTCGGGCAGACTGCTGGGCGGCAGCTCGGCTGTGTAGTAGTGAGGCGTCCCTCGGGCCTGGGCCTCCCCGTGTGACATAGGCAACGGAAAGCATTCCTGCACCCCCAGTTCCCGCTTCACTTTCTTCCCAGTTTCTTCCTCAACCACTACCTGGTATGTGCTGTACAAAGAGCGGATGTGCATTTTAATAAGCCTGGAGCACTGATGAAAATCAATTTTCTGTACCTGAAATGATCTCCTCACCTAACAGGTGCTCCTCTGCCTTGGGCGGGGCGCAGCAGGACAGTAATTGTGCTCTCTGTCTCACTCAGCGGAGACGGCATGTCTCCGTAATCAAAGGTGGGAGCTGTGGACACCAGACACAAAAGCTTACATGTCAAAAACAATAAAAGCACACGCAAATAAGCACACGTCTAGCCTTAGCCAGTGCTCATTTCTGCCTCTTTGTCCTTTCACATAAACATGTTCATCCTTGAAATGTCACGTAACACGGAGCCTCACTCACTCACTATATAGCGTTTTCCTCATAATACACTAACTAGTGGCAATCCAGACGGTTGTTGATACACTGGCATATCTCGCCATGTCATTAAGATAAAAAATGTGTGCACACAGCTACATCACTATTCATCTTTTACATATTTACAGTTTAGACTATGGAACTAGAAATTCAGAGATGAATTTTTAAGGTCAAGGGAGTCGACCTCATTTTGAATTGTGGGCCACATGCAGCCCACTTTGACCTTAAGTGGGTCAGATCAGCAAAACTTGATTTTGTCAATGTGCAGTCAAGAAGTTTAACTACAGTGCAGATCAATTTTTCCACACAAAGTTTTTCTACTGTAGCAAGTGAAAAGAAATCTGTCAGCACGACTCTTTGGGCTTAAATTATAAGAAAGAACTGTGTCAAATTACAAAAATAAATCTGTTCGTTGCACAGACAGCCCTGTAATTTTAACTTGCACTTAATTACTTTGTTTTAGTATGAATGACTGGGGGGGGAGGTCTTTATCAGTGGGAAAAGCTGTAAAAAGTATGAAAATACAGATGAAAGTTGAGAATTTTTATCCCATCTTTCACATTTTTCAAAGCTTCCCAGTGGGCCAGATTGGAGTCTTTGCCGAGCAGAGTGTGACCCCCCGAACCTAATGTTTAACACCCCTGGTCTAAGCCGCACAAACTGTCTTTTTGTATCCTTTGTCAGCATACAGGGATAAACGGGCTAATATACCCAAACCCCATATTGTCATTTTAAGTACAATGTTTGAATTTCCCTTCTAGTTGTCTTAGAAACAAGTCCAATTAAAAGTAAAGGGAGTGAAGCTAAATTGAATGGGTTTTTCATTTAAAAGGATTTGGCTAAAGTCATGCTCCTCCCTGGAGATGTGGCGGCACATTTTTCTTTAATATCAGCAGTCAATTAGCGAGGGGGAAGAGAGCAAACTATTCATGAGGAATCGATAATTATCATATTAAAAAGCAGTTCACTAATAGCGCAGAAGGAAAGAGCACGCATCAATTAAGGTGAGTTATTGAGGAAATCCAGATGCACTATTGTCGACATTACGTACTGCCAAAAAAGAAAGAAAGAGGGTTCGATGCCAGTTGCCACACTGAGCCTGTCTGAGAGATTAGTGCCCGTCAGCCACGACTCCGCGTGCACGCGAATGAGGAAACGTGCGTGGAAGGATACTCCGCGGTGGGTGTTGCTTGAAGATGCTGACAGTAGTGGCTGTTGAAGGTGTTCAGTGTTTGCTAGCTGTCAGTGCAGATTTGAGAGACGCTCAGTGTAAGTGAATGTTCTGCACCGTGGGCCAGAGGAGGAGGCTGAGGATGATCTGCAAAGACTTTTGGACTCTATCTGTGGTCTGGCTCCACGCCAGATTGCTGTCTGCCATACAGCGAGTGAGCCTGTGCACTAAATCTATAATTAAACAAACCGGACCTCTCTGCAAAGAGATGGGGGCAGAGAGAGTAAATGTTCGTGCGAGACCGAGTGGGAGTGGTCGTGCTGTGTGCTCCTCAGAGGTGTAATCTCATCCCTTAACAAGCGCAAATGCATCATTAAAAGGAAACAGAAACACAAAGGTTGGATTTCTATCACCAGTAATAAGCTCTGAGACTCTCAGAAGGGGTGTTCTGGTCCTGAGAATGTTCTAAATCTTTCTTCATACATAACACACAGCAGTGTCCCCTCTGTTGTGCTTTCCTGCTACCTGCAAGTTAATTTATGTCTTGAGAACTGTGAGATGACAGCGTGCCACTAGATTGGAAAGGCAATTGGAAAATAGCTCTTGCACTCTGGGAGCAGCAGTTTTGCCTCAGCGAGGGAAGAAGACACAGAGGTTAAAAGAGAGAAAACCTGATTTCTAATTATAGCACACAGTGGGTGAAGTCTCACTGTTGTACCTGCATGCTGCATTAGCGATAGGCAGCGATGGCACAGAGAACAGCCTCTACACGCCCGCCTTCATTTCTATCTTACGATTTTACACCAGATTTCGCACCGTCGCCCACGATAGCACGGATGCTCCGACAGCGGCGCTCCTACCAGAGATGTTAGTGGTGATCTCGGTGAGGGCCGTCTGGCCAAAGCCCTTGGCCGTACGTGCCCGGACGGAGATTAGGTAAGTCGTTCCGGGGTGGAGGTTGGAGAACATGTGGTAGGTTTCGTTCTTGAGCTTTGACACTGTTCTCCTGGGTCCTGGGACGTTGATGCTCGGATCAGATGACTCGATACTCTGGTAGCTGATCTGATGTCAGATAGGGAATAAAAACAGCATAAAAAACAATTAAAATGTTTTTTTGCTCTGTTGTTATACCTGTTAACAAACTTCAACTGTGATTTTTTTTTTTTCCCCCCCCAGTTGAGTTCATCAAATAGGTGCACAAATGGCTCGGTCATAAGTAGTAAATTAAATATGTCATTGATATGATTCACTTGACATGAAATAAAAACTGCTTCACTAAATAAACATGCTAATTGCTCATGTGGTTTCCAGTTTCAGGTGAATACGTCTTGATTGGCATGGTCGCCATTAGCTCAAAGGCATACGAGCAACATGGAGCTCTGCTGAGAAGCATTGGAAGCCGTAAGTGATTTTCTGACTAAGTAACTCATTATGAAGGCCAGAGACGGAACCTCACGCACTAAAAAGTATTTCCAAGCATGAAAAAATCAATACTGTGAAGTGTTTATGAGTTTAATTAACACTTGTTAACACTACGAAATCGGTGCGTGAGAGTGTCCTCAAAAAAGTGTAATCTTTTCAAAAGTTTTTCCTCAAGAGGTGATTAGCTGTGCCTCTACCTCACGAGAATTTCCACTTATGCTCTTTGAAATAGTGGAGAGCTAAATGAGATGACCTTACCGCAATCAGACAAGGGTGAGCGTATTAGGGAAACGTGGAGCTGGAGGAGATCCACTTCACTGAAGAAACGAACACACACACGATGCGTACCGTATGTGCTCGTGCGCGTGCACGTGCACGTTGCACACACCGGCGCTGACGCTCGAGCTGAACCGAAGCTTCTGCTGATTATCATAAGAAGAGCTTAATGTCTGCTCATGCTCGTAGGGAGAAGATAGAATTATGAGCCATCCAGTGACTGAGAACAGAGAGACCACTGTGTTTCTGCTACAAAGGCATTCATAAAAAATGCCAGACGCAGCACAGAAGAACGAGGAGGGCTTGCAGGACAGCTTTCTGGTCGATAGGCTCAGGCAGACTGGTCAATAGTTTAATCTGAGAGAAATGAAGAGGATTTCTACAGCTTTGTATAAAGCTTTCTTTGTCAGTTGAGGAAGATCAGTGTACACTACAGTGTAAAAATCTTGTGCGGCCTCCACTTTATATGTCAAACTGGAAATTCTATTTAATATATCCTTGAGGTGACATTGCAAGAGAAGCCATGGAAGGAAGAGTTGAGCATGGGTAGGCAGGCCTACTGAATGCTTACTGCAGACAGAGGGTGTAAAGTAAATGCAAAATGATTGTCCAGCTAAGCAGAAGCCCTACAGCAAAAATTTGTGTATCGATTAAGGTGCCACTCTCTGTTTCTACAGGACAAGAAGACCAAGCCATGTGCTCAAGGGTCAGCAAAAGCATATCCAGTCATCGCTGCTATTTTTGTTTATAAAGACACACATGCATTGTCCGTTGGGTGGAAAAAGAAAAAAGCATAAACTGCAGCAGAGCGGTTGTATGATTAAGCACATACTTTATCTGTGCTGTGCCAGTTGCAGCAATGCTGAAAATGGTTCAGCAACTAGAGAGGGAAATATTTTTTGCACTAGGCAGGAAACAAAAAAAGAACAGGCACGTTTCAGTTCCAGGAAAATGCTGTTTGGGTTTGTTATTTTTTTGTACTGCTGGAGATTTTTTTTTTTGTGCTGGTAAAAATATTGAATATAAAGTTAACAACCCCTTAAAAAGAACCTCTAAATTTATCAAACCAAATGGGAAAATTATATTTTACTCTTGACCACAAAAATGGCATGAAAGCAGTAGAACAAACTACATCCACATCCACCTCAGTTTAATTTATGAGTTTAGTCGTATGTATGATGCAAGCAACCCAATAAAGAAACTCAGCCTGCAGTTAAGCGCCTGATCGTGCATTTTGCTTAGCTTTAAGACTTTACCAACTATCCCAGCAGCCCTTTATGTGTTGGAGGTACGTTTCATCCTACAGAGGTCACGCAGCAGATGCCTGCACCGGGACTTTTACTGAAACTGTGAGTAAGGCGTCTATACTTTGCAGGCATTATATATTCTGGGGAGGTCTTGCATTGGATGACACCCAGGAGTGATTGCCACTCAAAATCTCAGAAGAAGATCATAGTTGATCTTCTATCATAGTTGAGTTCAGAGTGTCAGTCTCCTTTTTTCAGGCAGCATGTATGACCTACGTCTCTCACATGACACACTGTTGATGGCACACGTGGCACAAATGTTTTACTCACTGGCTCAATGGTCTTTCATTAATTTGCCTGATTTACAAAATTAAGGATGTTTAAATTTATTAAAACTGATTTTTTTATTCTTTATATTTGACGTCTTAAAACTCATCCCTGCATCACTTTTCTTTTCAGCAATAGTGTATGCACTCATACAATCCCGATGCTCACTTTTATCACTATACAATACCAATAGGGTTAATACCACTATGCTTTCCATCTGTAGTATATAATATTTAACAACTTTATTTAGAATATTACTGGGTTTTTCTTTGTATTGTCAAAGCCACTTTACAAATAAGGCACCACGGTGCAGGTGGCACGGATAGCTTTGGATGGCAGGTGAGGGAGAGAAACTGACAGAGACCTCACTCTGCGCCTTTCAACTGAAATGCCGACAGTGTTTAACAGGACGTTGAAATATGATTAAACATAATACTATTTAAACAACCAAAGTCAGGTTCAAATTAAATTTTCCAGCTGTCTGTCAGGGCAGGAGAGGAATATCAGAGTTACTATTGGCTAGAGAGTACAAGCTAGTTTGATGGTTTCCTAGCAATAACACGTTTAATATCTGTGTTTATTTTACTGTAGATCAATGTAATTTCATTATTTTAAAGATTCATCTGAGCATATGAAATTCTCTTTTAGTTGTAGTCTAAAATCACTACTGTACAGACTGCACTTAAATAACTGATTCATCATCATCAGACAGTTCAGGATTTTGACATCTATACGTTTGCAGACTTTGTACGCAGAAATATTTTCCCAGTTAGTTTCTGGTACGCAAACCATGGCAACCCTGAATAAAGTTCGAGATAAAGCACAGAGAAGTTGATTAATCACCCATCCAGCCACTGGTATTTAACATGCTGATATGTATGGGTACAGCCTTGCTTGTTATTAGATTTGAATATGTTTACACTCCAGAATCATTAAAAGAATCAGCAAACAACAGCACAGCAACCATGTTAGCTGATTAAGTCAACTTTTAAGTCCAGCGGAGCCAACGATGATAACAGAGAGACTACTAAATGCTCGCACCTGCCCCAATCCACCAAACTCTACAACCAATTAAATTTACACATCTAAGAAATTCACCCTCATGTCTCCATGGGCTCACCTCATACTGGGTAATAAGTCCATTGGGCTCAACAGGCTCCTCCCACTTCAGGAAGATCATGTCATCCAGTGGGGTGAAGGTGAGCGACTCCGGTGCGATGCCTCCGGGGACTATGAGAAATTACAGAACAAACATTTGTCAGGGAAACTGAAGGGCTAATCACACAGTGATCCTCTCCTGTCAATATCACAGAGTGAATGTCATTGTGGCCCAGAGCGACGCATCACACAAAGCACTCTGACATACAGAGCAGTAGGCAGGCAAAACTCACAAAAAGGATACAGTTTATTCATGAACTGCATAAATTATGCACCCATTACAAAGATGAGAAAAAAGAAAATATTATAAAAGAATTATATTTTTTATTCTGCTTCAGTCAAAGCTTAAATATACTGATGAATATGTGAAGGCCTGAGCTCTCAACTATACATGGTTTTGGGGCCATTCAGTTGAAGTCCTGGTCCCAGCGGTCTGTGCGAGCACTGCGCAGAGGAAGACTGTTATGTGAGATTCAGGCCTGAGGCTAAAGCGAGAGCCAAACAGCTGAGTTGACTGTTTTTTTGAATTGGGTTAGTCAGGACGACAAATTTGCTTATTGGGACTTTTGGAAAAGGTGGTTCTAATTGGCACACACTGTTTGTATTTATACATATACTCATCTTTATCTAAGCAAAAGAAAAACATTCACTCTCTTATTTGGTTGCTCTTTTTCTATCTTTCTCTGTACATATGTGTGTATGTAGCTTTCTGAAAAATCCTGTTTGTTTAGATGTTTTTCCTTTTTTTGGTTCACGGCAGAATTGATTTCTCCTTTAGCCACCACGCAGAAAATCTGTGAAGGCACACAGGAATAATAGGAGATAAGAAATAAGAACCAAATCCTATCTCGGGATTGCCCGAGTCTCAGATATGTTTTCTCTTTTATGTTATTTCCATCTAAAAATGAAATGGATCTTTTGTGATGCTGACTCAGTCAGCCGGTCACCCTTTCTGTATTAATGCATAAGGGAGAGGGGAGGAGAAGTTTTAATTACACAAAACTGGGCTGATAATGGATTTGTGTATTTTGAGCACTGATGGAAAAGCAGAATTACACCAATCTGGCATAACATTATGACCACTGCCAGGTGAAGCAAATAACACTGATTATCTCTTCATCATGGCACCTGTTAGTGAGTGGGTGATATTAAGGAGCAAGTGAACATTTTGTCCTCAAAGCTGATTTGTTAGAAGCAGAAATCTGGCAAACCTAAGGATCTGAGCAAGTCTGAGATGTGCCAAATTGTGATGCTAGATAACTGGGTCAGATCATCTCCAGGACTGTAACTCTGGGATGTTCCCAGTCTGCAGTGGTTTATATCTATCAAACACAAAGAAAGAACAGCGGTGAACCAGCAGCAAGGTTACAGGTGACCAAGGATCACTAATGCACAGAGCTGTTCTGGTAGAAAGGTGTCAGAATCTACATCCGCATTGCAGTTTGTTGTGTACCCCTGTCCCCAAATAAAAGCACCAACAATGGTCACGAAGCATCAGAACTGGACCACGGAGCCATGGAGGAAGGTATCCACATTTTCTTTGACATCACATGGATGGCCGGTTGTGTGTGCATCGCTTACCATGGTGAAACACCTGGTGTTAGGATGCACTATGGCAGGGGTGTCCAACTCCAGGCCTCAAGGTCCTGCAGGTTTTTGATCTCACCCTGGGCCAACACTGCTGAATCAAATGATTAGTTCATTACCAGGCCTCTGGAGAACTTGTTGAGGAGGTAATTTAGCCATTTAAATCAGCCATGTTGGATCAAGGACGCATTTAAAACCTATAGGACAGCAGCCCTTGAGGCCTGGAGTTGGACACTATGGGAGGAAGACCAGCCACCGGAGGCAGTGTGATGCTTTCTACTTGGAAACCTTGGGTCCTGTCATCCATGTGGATGGTACATTGACATATATCAATACCTAAGCACTGAAACCGTATTCCCTGATGGCTGTGGCCTCTTTCAGCAGGGTAGTGCGCCCTGCCACAAAACTAAAATAGTTCAGGAGCACAACAACAAGTTGTTTAGCCTCTAAATTCCCCTCAAAATCTCAATCCAATCAAGCATCTGTGGGATGTGCTCGACGAGTCTAACAAGTCCATGGAGGCTTCATCTTACAATTTACAGGGCTTAAAGGTTCTGTTTCTAACAGCTTGGTGCCAGATACACCAGCACATCTTAGGGGTCGGGTGAAGTCCATGCCTCAATAGCTCAGGGCTTTTTTGCAAGCAAAAGAGGGACGACACAATCCTAGGGAGGTGGTGTATGTCCACAAAATTATAACATGGGACAGTTTCAATGTGGGAAGCCTGCACTTATTATGAGAACATACAGTGAGCTAACCCCAGACCGCAGTTTAGCATGTGACAAACTGAGCAAATGCTTTAAGGCAATAAAACGTTGGACTGCCAACATTTAGTGGGAACCACATATTATTGGAACTTGTACTTTGTGATAATTGGAGAGTGGAGGGTTTCTGTTTGTTTGTTTTTTAAGAAAATAACATTTATAATATGAAGGCCTGATGAATGACGCTGTCTTTGGCTGTTAAGGAGCGAGAGCAGCTTTAAGATTTTTCCCAGCTGCTCTAATATTAGTGCTAATGTTACAGCTTTTTAAAGCAACAGTCCTACAATATTCTCACCTTCATCAAGGTTACAATGCTTTTGAAGAAAAGTGTTTCGGAAAGGTGTTGATTGGATTTTTTTATTTTAATCTCGGAAGCTTTTTGTTTCTCTCAGTTGTACTGCAATATAAAGCAAGGTGATTCTGTTATTTAGCCTCCCTTCATTGATTTAAATGAGATGGAAAAGATAATAAACAGAAACGCCTGCTAGTAGGAAACAACGAGTTCAACAGCAACACGAACTACATCCGCCATTATAAAACAGTTTCACTGAAATCATTAGAACTTTAATAAACATTTGATCAGATATTAATGTTGCACTTTGCTGCAGATCTAATAAACTGGTAGTGAACCTTGAATGTGTAGCATTCATCCAGTGGCTCTATTCAGTTTTAGTTTCTCTGCGCTCCGTCTTTTACCATCTATCTACTGTCTTTTCTGTAATCTCCTTCTGGGACTTACTGTCCTCCTCCGTCTGAAAGGTGACCTCTCTGCCCTCTTTCTTCCCCTCTGGATTTGCCAGTGACAGACGGACATGGATGGCATGGTAGGGTGGCAGATCACGCAGCGTGAAGCGTGAGGCATTGTGTTCCACTGCAAGGCACTCGCGTACGGTGGTGTTGTGGCCGCCGCCTCCTCCCGCCATGGTGTAGCGGTAGCACAGGGACACTGAGTAGGTGTGGCAGCGTGTCAGGTTGAACGCCAAATTCTCCCACTGCAGGGACAACTGCCTGGGCTGGATATCTGTGGCGGCGAGTCCCCGTAATGCGCGCATGGGCTCTGTGAGAGATTGAGGAAAAGGATATGAGAGATACGGACAAGACACAGGTAAGCTTTTATTGTGAAATATTG